GGGGAATGCCAATGCCGATGAATGCATAAACACTTTCAACCTACTTTATCATTTTATCTGTCTTTATAAAAGTTATGGCTTTCCACAATGAATTCCAATATCAAGTGAAGATCAGTGGTTCAGCTTCCTCTCCACCCACCCACCCCCCCAGCCCAAGTTTATACTTCTCTTCACAACCAAGCTGGAAAAGACTAGAAAGTTCCTTCACTGAAGACGTAGAAAATACATAGATTACCCACAGTGGAAGGAGAAATGCTCACGTGGTGACATTTTCACACTGCCCCTTAGCAATAACTTAACTGAGGCGTTTTTATTTGTTTACTTGCTAAACGCTGCAGTAGAAGCCCCTCAGAGCCTCGGCAAGGGGCTTCCTGCTCAGTGGGTTGGATGGAGAGCCTGCTGAGAGCCATGCAGCTATACTAATGAGAGCCAGAGGTGAGGCTGCCCATTGCTCCGCTCTTCCTGTTTTTCCACTCACCGTGGGTTGGGGGGGAGCCCTGCTTAGTACAGATCACAACGTCAGCCTGGACACTGGCTTGATGTTCCCAAAGTACTTTCCAGTAAACACTGGCAAGAAAGAGATTAGTTACTGGAAAAAAAAATATGCACTCCCTTGTGCTCGCAGAAGGTTGGCGTGGTCCTGAGACAGGCAATATCGGAAGCCTAGCTGGATGAGGGAATTCTATCCCGCCAGAAAGATCTGCTAGCATCTCATTCGATTTTTGTTTGTTTGGGGGGCAGTGGGGTGTGCTATTTGGACGGCAGAGTACGAGAGTCATGTCTCAAACTCCAGTCAGGCTTGTCAGCGAGTGCCTTTAGCTGCTGAGCCTTTTCACCGGTCCTGTACTGTCCCCTAGCCACCACGAGGAAGGAGACTGGTAGCTTCAGCAGTGGCGGGAACAAGTTCTTCCTCGCATGGCTGTGTCCTATGCAGACAGTGAGGTCAAAGGTTCACGCACAAAGTCCCCTGTCACTGTTACCCCAACAGCTCAGCTTTCCTGTATCTTCTGTAACTCCTGTGCCACCAGGAGCTCATGAGCTTAGATAACAGGAAATGTATAGTCAATTGTTTAACTGGTATGCGGGGATAACTGTCCGCTCCAGAGGCTAGAGTAACCTTTTGGTAAATGGTTCCTGTGATTGCTAACACTTGCCAGAATCTAAAATCACCTAGGAGACAAACCCCTGTTCCTTTCCAGCGTTAGCGTGTGTATTCACACACACCACGGCGTGTGGAAGTCAGAAGACAGTGGGCAGAAGTTTGTTCTCTCCTTCCACCGTGCGGGTCCTAAGCATCAAGCTCAGGCTATTAGGCTTGGCAGCGAGCACCTTCACCTGCTGAGTCATTTTGGCAGCCCTCTGCCTTGTGTTTTGGAGCAGTCTTTTGCTAAAGCCAAGCTTACTTCTTTACCTAGGTCGTAAAGTGGACCTGTTTCCTCCTCCCCGGTGCTAGAAGTATTGGTGAATCAAAGCCATAATTATGAGAGTGCTGGATCCGAACTCAGGTCCTCACGCTGTACAGCAAGCACTTTACCCACAGAGCAATCTCCCCAGCCCGTGATTTAGGGCTTTTTTAATAATTATATTAGCTATTTTCTTGATTACTAGTGAGATTAGTTTTCATGTGGTTGTTAGTTTTTGCCCATTATTGTCTTTTAAACTATTCAAATATTTACTTCTCAGTATACCATTATCCTTTTACCTTTAAAGTTTTATATTTTTAAATTCAGAAGTTGCTGAGTATAATGGCACACACCCATAATCCCAGTGTTCAGGAGGCTAAGTCACTCTGTCTCAGAAAAAAGAATATTTTAATTTTAATTTTATTTATGTGTATGTTTATATTGTATATGTCTGTGCATTGTATGCTAACCTTGTGCTCTTAGAGGCTAGAAGAGGGTTACCTAATCCTCTGGGACTGAAGTTAGGATGGTTTGTGAGCCGCCATATGTGTGCTAGAAATGAAACCCAGGTCTTCGGCGAGTCATCTCTTCAGCACGCCCAGAGGGAAAAAAAATTAAGGATCCATAAATCGTTTCTCTTATGACTTATTGTATGTGAATGTGCATCAGTGTGGGTGTGTAAGAGTGTGTGGGTTGACAGGGTTTCATGTACCCTAGGCTATCCTTGAACTCGTGTAGCCAAGGCTGACCCAAGCCACCTAATCCTTCTTCCTGTACCTCCCCAAGTTCTGGGAACACAGACATGTATGGCCCATGTCCAACTTTATGCGGTCCCATTGTTACCGTCTTTAGGAATTTTTTCCCTGTGTTGGGAAGACAAGTCCTGTGGCATAAAGAGCTTTGATTTTTCAAGTTGAGGCCTCTGTTCCATTTTTGCAGAGAGGCAGGCTGGCGCGATTCTAATTTTGTTTCTTTCTAGTCAAAAGTCTGCTGGGTTACCAACCCTTTCTATATTGTACTACTTCCATTCTGTACCGCCTCATAGCTGGAGAGATGTCCGTCTGAGTCCACTCTTCCCTGCCATTGGGTAATTCATCTATTGCTGTGTTGACATTACAAGAAATTTATTAATACAGCTTTGTGGTGTTATTGATGCTTGATTTATGCCATGGCTTCAGTGTGCATTTTTAGAACTAGTTGACCACATTCTGGAATCCCAGGTGCTCTTGGGATTTTCATTGGAATCGCATTGAACTAATAAGGTAAATAATAAAGAGGTGATGTGTGTACTGAATTGAATTACTTCATTCATGTACATGGTAGTTGTCTCTACTGTTTATAGCCCTTTTCCATCCTTCAATGAAAGCTTGTCTAGACTTACACCTGCTATAGTGGCTCGTGGCTTGTGATTTTCGTACCAGCACTCAGGAAGCAGTGGCAGGCAGAGCTCTGTGAGACTGAGGCCAGCCTGGTCTACAGAATGAGTTACCAATCCAGCAAGGAATGCATAGTGAGAACCTATCTGGGAAGGGGGTTGTTTATATTTCGCTTGTTATACAACAACATGACAGTAATAAAATCCGCAGTACTAAAAAGCCAGGCTCTAAGCAGTTGATGGTTCTATCAGGGCTGGGAAGGTGGCGGGTACTAGGTTGTGTTTTGTCTTGATTGGATAACTCTCCTCCCTATACACCATATGTCCTTGCCATGCACAGTCCTTGGGTCACCTGCCCAATGGGTGAGACCCTCCTTCCAGCAGGATTACGTCTAGGTTTCCGGTCTAGAATTTTATAGATGAGATCATGCACACATTAACTTACTGGTAGCCTTTACTTTGTTTTTATTTTGTTGGGAGTGATTTGTTGGTTGTTTTGTTTGTAAGTACTGGCATGTTTCACTTAGTTTTTATTTTGTTGGGGGTGATTCATTGGCTGTTTGTTTGGAAGGAGTCATGGAGTGTGTTTTTGTAGGTTTTGTTGTTTAGGCTTTTGGTTCTATGAGATAGCCTCACTATATTACCCAAGTTGGCCTAAATCTTGCAGTCCCCCTCAGGCTTCCAGGTGCTGAGATTTGGGGCATGTGCCACTACCCCTGGCACCATTTGACATTCATCTGGTCTTCTCAAAGTTTCTCCCATGCCACTTGATTTCTGAGAGTTAGCTAATGCGACAGGAGAGTCAATGTCTGGTTTCCAGTGACATACCCTATCATATCAGCACTTCAAATGTCTATGAAGTCCGCTTATTTTTAGTAATGTTTTTGCAAAACATAAACCATTATTTTTAATGCTGAAATGGTTTAAAACAGTTAACTGGGTTGCCCGTCCTTTTGTTGGCTAAATATCAAGACTTCCTTCCTGCTGACTGACTTCTAATGTGAATATTTTAGTGCCTTGGTGACTAAAGGAGAAAAGATGGCTGGTCCGGAATGCTGTGCTTGTGGGGCGTTTTCAGTCAAAATCTAAAATTCCACCAAGTCTTCCCTTAGTCTTCGACCATGTTAAGGCCAATGATTTTGTTGTCATTCTTGTTCCCCCAGCTGCCGATTGTGGAAAAGATAAGAACCATTGCCCAGGCTGTCTATGGAGCCAAGGATATCGAGCTGTCTCCTGAGGCGCAATCCAAAATCGATCGCTATACGCAACAGGTAAACAAGGTCCCTCCCTGTACCTTTTGGGGGAGAGGGATGGGATCAGTCTTGTAGTCTAAACATGCACACCTTGATTTGAGGACAGGTAAAATCTGTCTCGTAACTAGGCTCTATTAAATAGCCTGAGGATCAACAGAGACTATAAAGCAGCAGCATAGGTACTGTTGGCTGGCTAGAGCATCACGGTTAAGGTATTTATCCTCTGACTCGGGCATCTGACTCTGAGACTGTGACTGTGTCTCGCAGTGCCGGGGAAGGAACCAGGGCTCCTGTGCTTAGTCAACACTTTCCCACTGACTCCATCCCTATTCAGGGCACCTGATACGGGTGTCATCCATGTTGACACCCCTGCTCACTCAGCAGAAGCAATGGAAAGTGTCCCTTTGGTGGGAGGGGGGCGGGGCGGGGGTGGTCAGCGTTTGATTCTTTACAGCATTTTCTCCTCACTGTGAGGCTCTACTGCCTTAAAAATGCTTGCGTGCCGCAGGTGAGGTGAACACGATGGGAGTGTTTGGTGTTTTTATGCAGACGAGTCATTAGTTTGTTCTCAGGACTGCCCTCAGGAACTGAAGATTCCACTGTCTTCTACCTGTAGGCAGTGACAAGTAAGCAAGCACTGTGAGGGACTGTGTGCCCCTGTCTTAGCCTAGTTCCAGAGAAGTCAGGTTTGCAGAGGCTTGCTCTCAGGGTCACTATGTAGCACTGTCGTCTTTTTCCCTATCCTATCTACAATATGGTTGATATGCTGTTAGATACTATCCTGTCAGTGACACGTTGTTTCTCTGGGGTTTGATAAAAATCACTTTCCAGCCAGGTGCCACATGTCTTTAATCCTAGCATTTGGCAGGCAGAGACAGGTGGATCTCTTAGTTCAAAGCCAGCCTGGTCTACAGAGCAAGTTCCAGCACAGCCACAACTACACAGAGAAACCTTGTCTCAAAAGAACAAACATTTACCTGGCAGGGGAGATACCATAGTCACGAATGTGGTTTTCCCAGGGCAAGCCTTATCCATTGCACTCCAGACATGCTGCCCCTGCATTTCTCTAAATGTAGGAAACTGCATCAGTTTTGGTAGTGGGGAACTGTGTTCGTACTCTCCCCTGAAGGAAAAAAATAAGTGCTGTCTTCTGTCATGCTCTTCCTTACTGCCTTGACAAAGGGCCTCTCACTGAACTACAAGTTAGCCCTTTCCGCTGGGCTTCCTAGCCAGCAGGCTCTCAGGATCCACCTGTCTCTATGAACCCCACTCCTGTCATGCTGGAATTACAGACACACATACCATGTGCTGATTCTCACGTGGACATTGGGGATTCGAACTCAGGTCCTCAAGCTTGCAAGAGTAAGTGTTCTTATCCACTGAACCATCTCTGCAGTCCCTGAGCTTTTCTTTATGTAAAACAAAAGGATTCCCAGACTAGGGCTGTAGCTTATTAGTGAGTGTTTATGCACCAAGTCCAGCGTTGAGTCCGCAGCACTGTGCAAACTGGGTTTCGAATTGAAAGCCTGTAATCACCGCGGGGAGGGTGGAAGCAGGAAAATTAGGATCACTCTTAGCTACACGGAGTGTTGAAGGTCAGCCCTACTAAAGACCTTACGTCTCTTCTGCACCACTTGTCCATCCCTCTGCACTTTGATGACTTTGGCAATTCTTTTGGTTCTGTACACACAATGCAGTGAAGTAATTGTCACCAAGTTTGGGGTATTTTTCCCCAAGAACTTTTAATGCTAAGAACTATCATTTATTCTAATAGTCTTTTTTAGTTATAAGATATTATCTATTGTATAATATTTTAGTGAGTTATTTTATAAATTTTTTCTGTTAGCAAATTTTCAAAAACTATATATATAATATTGTGTGTGTGTGTATGTATATGTATATATTTCATCGGGCGATGGTGGCGCTCGGGAGGCAGAGGCAGGCGGATCTCTGTGAGTTTGAGACCAGCTTAGTCTACATGAGCTAGTTCTGGGACAGCCTCCAAAGCCACAGAGAAACTCTGTCTCGAAAAACCAAAAAAAAAAAAAATTCATAGGAATTATTTCAATACTTAATCATTCCACAAAACAAAAAATTCTGGGTATCAATTGTGACTTTTTTTTTTCCTCACCAAAATCCTCATTAGTATGTAAAAATGGGGGTTTCAAAACCACAACACACACAATTGATAGTACTCTAAAATGTCCTGAATAGTTTTAGGTTGAATCATAAGTAATTGCGTTCTGTCATCTGTCTGACTACCACGGGAACATCCCTTGAAAGTGAGTGGCGAGTATGTGGCTGCAGTTAATTAGTGAGACTCTGAAGGGACACTATGTGCTGTTTAGTTACAGCGTCCTTCCCAGACACTGTCCTTTTTGTAAGATGCTGCACGTGCCTTCTTCCCCTTTCCCCTTTGGAATTCTGGGTCAGGCACAGACTTTGGTCCTGAAAAATAAAAGAGGCTTAAAAAGTGACCTCATCTTACTTCCTATAATGTAATCACAGATCAAATAGCCATGATTCATAAACCAGCACAAAGGGCCCTTTGCTTCTGAGCAGACTCCAAGGAGGACGGAACAGTGAGACTAAGAGCCTCATTAGGAGCCTTGTTCTGCATTACCTTTCTCTTCCCTGGATATTAATAGCCTTGGAAAGTACTTTCTACAGCTGTTCCCCTGCAGTGTCTAAAAATGGCCTTGCTTTTACACACACACACACACACACACACACACACACACACACACACGTGCAAGTGTGTCCTCTTTAGGAAATTCCCAGCGTAAACAGAAGACCTCACACACTGATAAGTCATGGCCATAGGGACAAGCCGTTTGTGGCTCCATAAGTAGCAGCAATCACTACTGCACCTGCGCAGATCTGCACCAGCATGCGATGGTTGCAAAGGTGGGGTCCGAAGGACCAGAGTTTATGGCAGTGAACGCATTTCCTTTTCTTTCTTGCAGGGTTTTGGAAATTTGCCCATTTGTATGGCAAAGACCCACCTTTCTCTGTCTCACGAACCTGATAAAAAGGGGGTACCAAGGGATTTCATTCTGCCTATCAGTGACGTCCGGGCCAGCATTGGCGCAGGGTTCATTTACCCTCTGGTGGGAACGGTGAGTACCAGGCTTCCCAGCCTTTCCTCCTGTGTGGCTGTCATGTCTTAATCACACTCTGCCAACCCTACAAATTGGACGCTGGGGAGGAATTGACAGTATTTTACTAAGCACTCTTCCACCAGTAAGTGGGTGAAAAAAACACCTCTGCCATTGCAAGCCAGGCTCGTCTCTTTTCAGATCATGTGTTCAGGATCCGTAGAGGCATATAGTGGTTTTCCTTCAGGGATAGAAGACAATGGGCTGTTTGAGCAGTAACGTGGCCTAGTGCCAGACTTAGCAAACTTTTTCACACTGTTTGCAACTCACACTTATTGTATTGTCCCTCCGTGGGGCAATTGGAGCTGGCTGCCCACCCTAGCCAGGACCCTAGAAGCTACCTCTGAGCTGGTGGGCCGATCAGCGTCCTGCCGATTTGCTCCTTCATGAGTGCATCTGATAGGGCCTGGCTAAGACAATTAACAAGTCCTGCCCATTTCACATGTCATCATGGTGGGACTGTGTCACTGTCATTCCAGGCTGACTGTTGGAGATGGGAGGAGGTGAGCAGAGAAATAAATGGGCTTTATTCTAACCCCCCCCCCCCCTTGCTTCCCTCCATACTCACTTTTGGCTTGAATTAGACTTCGTCATGGGATTACTCCTAGGTTAAGTTTGAGTTTTAAAATGATGGCTGATTGAGCTGGGCATGGTGGTGCACACCTTTAGTCACAACACTCAGGAGGCAGAGGCAAGTTATCTGTGAGTTCCAGGCCAGCCTGGGCTACAGAGCAAGTCCTAGGACAGCCAGGGCTGCACAGAGAATCTCTGTCTCAAAACTGCCCCCCCCAAAAGAAAACAAATTACTCCTTAGCGTCACTATTACTGCAGTTGTTATCAACTGACCTGAATCTACATTTTGAAAGTTAAAATAATTTTTATAGTAAGGCTCTGTAATGTAAACATTTAGTGAATGGACAAAAAATTCTTTCCTTGATATTTAGCCGTTTCATTTGATGTTAGGCAGAATGTTTTCTGAACACAATGTTTTAATTCCTTGTGCACTTGAGGTACAGAGATTCTGAGGAGAGCAAGTGTGAGCAACAGAGGAACGGCCAACACAGAAGCATCTGGAATGTGCTGCCTTGTGCTCTAATAGAAATGCCCTAGGACTAGCCAGCTAGTTTTGCTGTGGAGTGGGAGGGGAAGGGTTCTTAATAAAGGATGTGACCTCAGGACTGAAGACACAGCGAGTGTCATCTCAAAGGCACAAAAGAACATGGTGTCCCTGATAAGCATTGGATCCCCGGTTACTGGGTATCCTCTGCCGATGCAATAAGCAAAATCAAACTGAGTTAATAAGACCAGATTTAATAAACAGAGCAAAGCAGAGCGAAGCAACTCCCAGGTGACTCTCAGAAAGTCAGGAGAGGAATCATGCAGCAGGATGGCAACCAGGTCTCAAATACCCTGTAGGTGTGGTCTTGAGCAGCTCCAGAGGAGGAGCTGACCCTTGTTGGGCTTTCTGAGGGGCGGGTCTGGAATGGGAGGAGTGGGGTTCCCAGCCCCTCTGGGCAGGGTTTGGAATGGAGGCTTGAGACCAGAGTGGAGATTCCCACCAATCCCTACCCAGGCTGGCTGTGAGAGGCTGAGAATTGCGATGCAGGTAGTACAAGTGTCATCTTGAATGCGATCTCTAGGGGGTTTGTCTTTCACTCAGTTCACCCTGCTAGAGCGCCATTGCCGGGTGGGGTTTGCCTAGAATGGGCTTCTTAGGAAACCAGCTGCTGCACCTTGTGGAGAGAGTTTAGGGGGAAAGGACTGGCCCCACGGAGATGAATTAGTTAGGTCAGCCGGCACCGGAGGTGGTTCGAGTCAGCACTGCAGCTGCAGAAACAGATGTAAATCGTGGAAGCAAACCCAAGCCATGATGTAAAGATGGCTGCCTGCAGCGGGAGATGCCTCAAGGGCTGGTTTTCTTGCCCTCTTGCCCTGTCTCTGCTATAACGAAAGCAAGTTAAGGGAGGGCGGGTGGGAACCATCCTTTATGATTTGGGCTCATGGTTTAAGAAGGAATGCATACAGTTCATCAGGGAGGAAAGACAGCTGACCACAGAAAGATGGAGCTGGCCTTTAAAAACTCAAGTCCTACCTCTAGTGAACCCGGTACCCAGTGAGGCTTCCTCTCCAGCCATTCAGACAGCCCCTTCAAATGGGAACCAGAGTTCAAACACACGGACCTCTGAGAGACATTTCAAGTTCAAACCTAAAAAGGAAGCATTTTAGTTGGGTGGCTTTGGGAAGCCACTCTATTTCAAAGTAAAGAATGTGGGGAAAGCCAGTGGCTCCCACCGCCTGTAATCCCAGTGTTGGGGAGACAGGGACAGACAGATCTCTAGGTGTTCGAGGCCAGTCTAGTCGACATAGTAGCTCCAGACCTATCTACATAGTGAGACCTTGTCTTTTGTGAGAGAGGGAAAGGGATGCAGACAGACAGACAGACAGGATAGGTAGATTGACAGTGACAGGTTGAGTCTGGCATGGGATCATTTGAAGAGTTGCCAGGACGTAGGAACTACGTCTGTGCCCCTCTTAGAAACATGGGCGCAGCCAGGGAGATGGTTCTGTGGGTCAGTCTCCTCACTCCCCTCTCCCTCCAGGGCCAAAGCTGTTGTGGAAAAATCAGAGTGAACTCTTTTTACTCCCGGCCTGTCCCGCCCTCCTCCCCCAAACCTGGCTCTTTGACTTATGACGACTTAATGAATGAATGTGTGAATTAGCCCTAGAGCAGTGGCAGCTCACAGGGCTTTCCTGGAGTGAGACATCTGTGCCATTATCTCCCCTCCCAGGGCTCAGAAGTTCCTCCCGTGGCTACTCTCAGGGACAGAGGGCGTGTCCGGGCTCTGTGGTGCAATCCAGATACAATCAGGCCTGAGGAGTCAGGAAGGAAGTGCAGCCTGAGGAAAGGGGACCCTGGAAGGCAGGACACTGTCACTTGGGGCAATGGGAGGGCAGCTTTCTGTGACAC